GGCCTAGAGCTTCAAAGTTGGTATGCAAGGGTTTAGGGTTAAGAGCTTAAGGTTGAGGATTTCGGGTTTTTGAAGTTTCGAGCTCAAACATACATACATACATACATACATACCTACATACATACATACATTACATACATACATACATACATACATACATACATACATACATTACATACATACATACATACATACATACATACATACATACATACATACACAAAGTTGTTTGGGTTGTTTTTTCAGCCCCGAACCTTGCCTTCCAACCAGCTTGCTTGGCATAGATAGCGGGATCCTGGCGGATTCTACGGGGACCCTAAACCCTAAGCCTTAAACCCCTTAAGCCCCCTACACTAGGTCTCGGAGGGCTCCGGCTTCAAATGATTTTGCGCCTCAAAGCCGTCGCTTTAAAAGAGCATTGCCATTCTTAGGTTTAGGGCCATAAGGCCGTGGCTTTCTTTAATTTAAATCAAACTTGTGAGCAGAAATCTTGCCCCCAGGGCGTTTGTTGACTTCTTCTGCAGACATACCCGTGGCCCGTGCTAAGGACTCCAGAGGTGAGAGAGCTTTTGAAAGGGCCTGCCCGGAGAAGGTGTAAACACACAATTCAAGACTGTTTGCAACTCGAAGCCTGAACCCTATAAATCCCACACCGTAAACCGCAAAGAAACCTGAACCCGCAAAACCTCAGCCTAAATTCTAAAACACCGAACCTAAACGACCTAAACCTCAAACCCTCAACCTCAAACCCTGAGCCCGAACCTGAGCCTGAGCCTCCAAGGCCGGAAGTTGACTTTTGCGCTCTTCATCTACTCCGGAGCTGCCACTGTTCCTCAGCTGGGTTTCATCCATGGGTGGGACTAGGGTTTCGGGTTCAGGGTTTAGGGTTTGGGGTTTAGGGTTTAGGGTTTAGGGTTTAGGGTTTAGGGTTTAGGGTTTAGGGACTATGGGAGTTTCCGAAAATAGGGAGGTTACCGTATTTTGGGGGTCCTTAGAATCGGGATCCTACTATTTAGGATACTTTTTTCGGAAACCCCCCATGTGGCGATGCTATCCCTTTGTAGTCTCTATCTCCTAACATACCCCGAAACCCTGACCCGCTTACTCAGGCCCTTACTATGGGGGTTTCCGAAAATAGCTGACCCTAATATGGTACCTTAAATAGCAGTATCCTTATTATAAGGACCCCAAAGCAAGGTACCCCTTATTTTCGGAAACTCCCGGGTTGCAGGAGGTACACTTGAAGGCGCTTCGGGGCTGGGGTTCAGGCATGGGCAGGGTGTCGGGCTTCACGCGACCTCGTACCGGTGTTACACGAGCAAGGCGAGTGTCTTCAAAGTGCTTGGGTTGCTTGAGGGAGCTGCTGCCGCATCTAGCTCTTTAGGGCTGTAGGATTTAGGGTTTAGGGTTTCGGGTTTATATGCCAGTGCCCCATTGAATTCTTGAACTAAGTGTGACGGCTCTCCGGGAGCCCCAAGCCCTCAGGTCATCCTGATCATGGCCAGCCATAAGCTCGTGCGCATCAACTACAATCAGCTGCGCAGCCTCGGCATGGAAATCTCGAGCTTGTCGACGTGTTAGTTGTAAGTCCTGAAAGCCCATGCCTACATCCCAAGCTTGCAACTACGCCCCGACCCCCGAAGCCTGCACCCTAAACTCAGGCTCTGGCCACTACCTACGCAAGGGCGTAGTATTTCGAGCTTTAGGTTCATGAATGCAGTGGGGTTCATCTGAGAAGGCTCTCGAGTGGGTTTAGTTTAGGATTTCGCATGTCAGGGTCTGTTCAGGGGTTTAGGCTGGGGGTTTAGGATGGTAGGCTTATGTGAATGCTCCGTGCCGTCCGCCTGGTCCGGCTTTTGGAAGAAAGGTTCTAGAATAGTTCAGAAGGGCCTCATCAGGTTGATAGTGGTGGTTCTAGAATACATAAATTCTGAGGACCTGGTAAAGTGCGTAGGGCTTTGTGCTTTAAGGGATTTGCTAGGCTTCTCAAGGTATAGGGTGTTAGGTTTCAGGTTTGATGGTGTGGGCCATTGGTGTAAGCTACAGCCGCAGCCAACTTGGCGTTCAACCAACCTAACAGCACGGGAGAAAAGGGGTGTCCAAAAAAAATTTAAACCCCCAAAACTTCAAAACCCCTAAACCCTAAACCCCTTTAGGGTTTAGGGTTTAGGGCTTAGGTTTGAGGAGCTCCTTCCACTCCAGGGTACGAAGCGGACTTTCGCTATGGGCTTGTCCACATCCGAAACAACGCAGAGGCTTCGAAAAGGGTGTGATCTCGGCCATAGCTTTCCAGGAAGGGTTGCTACTAGCTACGTGGGCAGTACCTTGCACATTCTGTAGTGTTTTTATTTGTGCAAAGCCTTAGAAAAGATAACCTTACTTTTCATTACAGCATGCTGTGCTTGAACTTTTCCTAGGTGGGTATTACACGAGAGCCTTGCTGAGTGTATATGTAGCTCCTTCGAAGTTTGTTGGTCACATGAGAGTTTAGGGTGCAGCATTGGGTTTCCGGATTAAGGTTTTCCTTGCATCAAGAGTTCAAGAGTTTTCGGGCCTTAGGTATCAAACACGCCCTTACAGCAGCCCCGGAAGTTCATATTGTGCTACATTATACTGATACCTAAACAACTACCTTGGCAAAAAGCTGGTATTCGCAAAAAGGACTATACTATGACGATAACAGGTTTGCACGGACCCTCGTCATGTTGTTAAGCACATGCACCTCTGTTTAAACACAGCAATAACAATAGAACATGATAGACAGTTAGAATAAGAGTACTAGTAGCAATAGTAACAACGATAATAATAACATTAGTAGTAAGGTTAATACCACTAATAGTAGCCATAATACAAATGTAGATAATCAACTATTCCCAGCAGCAATAATCATAGTAATAAAGGAGCAGCTTGGAAGCTCGATGGCCTTCCGGGTCTGAAACCCGTGAGCCCCAAAGGCCCACATCCCAGCAAGCTACATGACCCTAGACCTGCAATGCCTGTGAAGGGCTCCTCTTTATAGGATTCCTTTAGGGGCTCCTTTCAGGTTCGTATAGGATTCCTGTAAAGGAGCCACAGAAAAGGAAGCCTTGAACGGAGCCCAGAAAGAAAGCTCCTTAAGCCTTCATCCCATCCTTGGCCAAAACCTCAACCAAGCCACTTCCCAGGCTCATGCATGAATCCTGATTAAAACCCCGGACCTAGACCCTTAAAGCCCTAAGCTTTAAGCCTTGAGGCGCTCTAAACCCTAAACCCGAAGCCCTAAACCCCAAGCCCTAAACCCGAAAGCCGTAGACCTAAGCCTGAAACCGGAGCAGGCAATCGCCTTCTACTCCGGAGAAGATCCTGCAGCCCTGCTTCTATGAATGGTACTCTAAGGGTTACTTCAGTGTTCTGGGGTTTGGGCTTTGGGATTCAGCTGGGTTGCGCCTGAGACGGTCCTCTAACCCTAAACCCTGAAACATTTCTCCCGGAAAAGTGGAGGCTGCTAGCATCCCGAGCCTCGCAACAGCGAGAGGTAAAGCAGTTTGGAATTCAGGATACTATTTTGGGGTTCCTTATTATTATAGTTATAGTATATTGGGCGCCAAAACCCTGTTATAATTATTAAGGCCCTTACATTATCCGGCTCGCTAAGTTGCTTCAGGATTATATTGTCCCCATCGCAGGAGCAGAATTGGAGCTGCAACGGTAAACCCTTAAAGTAACCCTTATATCACTTATAGTAACCGTTCCCTTGTGGTAAACTTTTCTTAGAAACCCTTAGGACAACCCCTGTAGCTGCCCTTACAACAACCCTTATGAGCCTAAACCTTCATGCCCTAGCAGCAGCGTTGGCTCTGTTTATTGAACTCGAGGAGAAGAAGGAGACCAAGCGCCGCATGGGCTGCGTGGTGAAGAATTACAACTACCTCATTAAGTGGGAGGCCGGGTGTAGGAAACCCTAAACCCTAAACCCTAAATCCTAAACCCTAAACCCTAAACCCTAAACCCTAAACCCTAAACCCTAAACCCTTGAGGGCTTAGGGGTTTAGGGATTTCGGATTTGTGGGCCTCACCCGGGCTTGAGAAGAGGGGCCTTGGCCTCGAATCCAAGCTCAACCCAGCTCCGAAATCCTAAACACCTTTTGCCCTAAGCACCTATACCGATACCCGACACTGAAGGGTCAGCCCAGGTTCCTGGACCCTAAACCCTAAACCCTAAACCCTACCCCCTAAAACTGAATCAAATAAATCCGACGCCACTGCTTTTTTAAGCTGCCACCGATTCCCGGCCCGCAGGTCATCATCAGCGTTCTGCGCCGATCCTACGGCTATGCAGGTCGGCTATGAGGGCTACAGGGGTTTATGGGTGTTTGATGAGGTTTTAACGATTTTGTGACGGGTTCTTGGGATTGATCGTAGGGTTTACAGTTTACAAGGGCTCTACAAGGGTTCATGGGTCTTTGATAAGGTTTTAACGATTTCGTTTGGTTCTCTGATTCGTCTGCAAGCGGTACATACGGATTCTATAAGACAGGGTTCTATGCAAGCGTTCAGGTTCAAGGTGTTAGACGCTAAGACCAGCCACCAACAATCACCGACCAACACCCACTCGAAAGAGGAGCTAGAGAACAAATCTGACACCCTAAATCCTCCGAAGACCCTAAACCTTAAGCCCTAAAGCCAACACTGACTGTACCATAACACACAGACCCCAACCACTATGATGATGATGATGATTATTATTATTATTACGATTACTATTACTATTATTATTATTATGATTATGATTATGATTATTATTATTATTATTATTATTATTCGGTATTATTGCTAGTAGTAGTAGAAGAATTTGCCAGGCTTTTTGGTGACTTTGTAAACTCAAGGCCGCAGGAGCTTCTCGGCCAGCCCCCAGACTTCGAAGGGAAGAAGCAAGGTGTGACGGCAGTGGTTAGGGAAGAGAACTCGGGTGCAGGTTTAGGATTTAGGGTTTAGGGTATAGGATTTAGGGTTTAGGGGATTTCGGGTGTAGGTTTCAGGGTTTGAGTTCAGGATTTAGGGTTTAGGATACGTCTTCGAGTTTGGAGCCCTGAACCCCAAGCCCCAATAACCCCAAACAGCCAACGCCACATCCCCAGACCTGTTGAAGGGTTCAGGTTTCCAGGTTCAGAGTTTAGGGTTTAGGGTTTAGGGTTTAGGAAATCATGCCGGAAGCAAGCAAAATCCTGCTACTGTCCGTCTTTTGCAGTTACTGCTATTTGGGAAACATGCTAGCATCAAGTGCTGTCAGGGTTTTCGTTGACCAGTGTTGTCAAGAGTCTTCTGGACAAGATGACCATTACGACCGAGTATGGTTCGACCCTAAACAAATCCATTTTTCTCATGAGAAACCATGCCTCGGCCCTTTCAGCAAAAAGCTGGAGAGGCAATTTCTTCCCATACTTGATCATGGCTCCCGCGTACCTGCGGGGCGAGATCGAGCCCCTCGGAAGATCGGGGGATTGAGGCCTAGGCCCAGGCTTTCGGGGTCTAGGGAGTTAGGGATAATGCTTTGGCTTGTGTGATTCATGGTAAAGGTCTCGTGGTTTAGAACTTAAGAGACCCTAAACCCTAAACCCTAAACCCTAAACGCCTAAACCCTAAACGCCTAAACCCTAAACGCTAAACCCTAAACCCTAAAACCCCTCAACCCCTGAACCCCTGAACCCTAAACCCGTAAACCCC